GAGGAAGAATTAAGTGACAAGAAAATATCGACTAATCCAACGATGCGCTTGAAAGAATAAATTCACCCTTTTCTTCGATGAAGTCGCATACTTTTCTTAGCGTGATCTGATTAAAGAAATTATTGATCAGAAGCGAAAATAATAGGAGTGATTTGAAAATATAGTATGATTTGAAATGTACAGTGATTTTTTTTAACCGACAGTGATTTTTGTTAATACGCGTTATTCATTTTCGTTTGTATTGCGCATCGGTACGTTTTCAGAGAGAATGCTCTACGGAGAATTCGTCTCCGTAAAAAAGGATACACAATGCCATTTCAAACGGCGGTGCATTTATATAGCGAAACGCATCGGCGCATCTGCGAATACAGGCAATGTATGGGAAACCCAATATGCATACCTCATTCGATATTTTCTCTGTAGTTTTGTCTCCAAAATATTTATACTCTCGCCAAGAATTTCGAACCACCTGTCGCATCTCAGCGACGTTGCTTCTCAAAACAAATTTGACCAACTTCTATCGTCTTTAGAATATAATGTTTTTAGAAAGAAGCTATTGCAATTCATTCTGAGATTCTAGTTCTCTACGATTTAGTGCTTTATAATGTAGTTTGTTCATAGTCTAGTTCTTTATAATTTACTTCTTTATTTTTTTTATATAGTTCTTACAGTCTAGTATTTTATGTAATTCAGTTGTTAAAAATTTATTTTTTTATAGTCTAGTTTTGTATATAATATACTTTTTTACAATCTATTTCTTTATAATCTAGTTTTTTATATAATTCTGTTCTTTATAATGTAATTTTTTACAATCTACTTCTTTATAATCCAGGTGTTTAAAATCTATTTCTTCATAATCTAGTTCTTTATAATGCACCTCTTTATAATTCATTTCTTTCCCAATAAGCACTGGACGTCTTAAAGATGTCCATTTCACGTCCAAATTGGATGTCCTTTTAACATATGAAATAAGATGTCTTAAAGCCGTCTATTTTAGGGCGTGCGACTTTCAGACCTGAAATGGACATAAAATGGACGTCATTAAGACGTCCAGTGCATATTGGGTAATACGTACTTTATATTTTTACCTGCTTCTCTGCTCTAGTTAATACGCTTCTAATTAAAGACTAACTATACAAGTAAAGTAAAAGTTGATTTCGGATAAGAAAGTATATTGCTTCTTTGTGCATATCAATTACATATAGTACATCATATTAAAATTATCAGAGTTGAAACCAAATTATTCTGTTGCTAATTAACAAGTCGAGACTGTAAATTTAATTTCTTAAAATGAATGAATACTAAAATGAATAATACAATTTTTGTTTGTATCAATTCTAATTGCTAAATCACTTTATCCTTATCGTTTCTCATTGTTAAATAATTTTATTTTATCATCATCTGAAAGTTTCGAAAGTTCCGAAAGTTTTACAAAAGTTTTGAAAGTTTCAAAAGTTCCATAACATCCGAAAGTTCCGATTGTTGTTATTGTTCTTATTATTCTTATTGTGCACGTTCTTTTCGTTATTGCGAATATCGTACAATTTTAATTACAATTCTAATTTTCAGTTCCATTTTAATTTTAATTTCACATCTGCTTTCTTAATAAAGTTTTTTTTGTTTTTAATACCATTACATGTCTATTGCTAATTTATTAAGAGTTATTTTCTTAAAACTCACTCCTACATGTAATCCCTATTCCCACAATTTCCTACAAATGGTGTGCAAACGGCCTATGAATGGTCTGCGAACGGTCTACGAACGGACTGCGGACGGCCTACTCTTAGACGTCCTAAAAACATCCGTAAGGCGTCCTGATTTGTAACACAGGACGTTTCTAGGTCGTTCGTAAGCTGTTCGTAAGCCGTTCGTCGATCGTTCATAGACATTCGGGACGTCTTTAAGACGTCTTTAAGACGTCTTTGTGCTGTCTGTCTTATAATCTATTTTTTGACAATGTAGTATTTTAAAATCTGTTTCTTTATAATTTAGTCATGTATAATATAATTTTGTATAATCTAATTCTTTATAATATAATTTTGTACCATCTAATTCTTTATAATATAATTTTATACCATCTAGTTCTTTATATAATATAATTTTGTACAATCTAATTCTTTATAATATAATTTTGTACAATCTAATTTTTTATAATATAATTTTGTACAATATAATTCTTTATAATATAATTTTGTACAATCTAATTTTTTATAATATAATTTTGTACAATATAATTCTTTATAATATAATTTTGTACAATCTAATTTTTTATAATATAATTTTGTACAATATAATTCTTTATAATATAATTTTGTACAATCTAATTTTTTATAATATAATTTTGTACAATATAATTCTTTATAATATAATTTTGTACAATCTAATTTTTTATAATATAATTTTGTACAATATAATTCTTTATAATATAATTTTGTACAATCTAATTTTTTATAATATAATTTTGTACAATATAATTCTTTATAATATAATTTTGTACAATCTAATTT